ACTCCACACAGTGCCTGGGACATAACAGGCACTCTACAAAGGATTGGTGAATGAATTAGAGCACCAGAATAAAACTGTAGTGCTGGCCTCATTTATCAAATGAGTTATCAACCTATACAATTAAGTGCTATAAAACAACTATATGACACCTCTACAGAAAAGCATCTCTAAAAAACACAGGTCATCCCCAGGATAAAGACACATCACCATATGTGAAACAGAATCACAGACTGAGTTTGCTTCAATAGGGAAGAACTCACAAGAAGATCAGAAGACAAGGGGTCACGTCTCTTGAGACCACAAATTGGCAAATAATTTTACTATATTCATTAATACCAAAAAACTCTACAGCCAAAAAAGCTCACTGTTTAAAACCCCAGGTGATACTTAATAAAATCATAAATTCATTAGAGTTAAATCATTGTGCCTTAAAAAAATAAAAAGAAAAAAGAGAAAACCAATGAAATAAACAGAAAAAACGTGAGCTTATAACACAGGTACAACTAGAGGAAAACCAATTCAATACAATCCAAACAATTAGCACAAAGTTTTCACATCTTGTATGTGAATAAAAAAAAAAACACAAACAAAAAACAAAAAACTCCTGGTTATCCAACTGGCAAGTAAAATATATACAAAATACATTGAGAATAAATGGCAGCCATTAAAAAATAATATAAAAGCAAATACCATGAGATGTCTGGTAAATCTGAGGTCCAAGAAAGAATAAATGTCTTCACAAAACCTGCTATCCAGAATAGACCTAGAAACCAAGTGAACATAGGAGTATTGAGCTGTTTTTAAATGGCATAAAATTATAGGTACTTTCATCTAATGTGGCCCCTAAAATCAAAGGGACTCATACAAAGACAGCAGCTAATTCTTAAAAAGATAAATATATTCTTTACTTTTTTAGACATATAAACGTAAACACAAGTAAAGGCAACAATTAAAGCTAGAAACCAAATCAAACAAAAAAACAAACTGGAAAATACAATATTAAAAACAGATTTAGCAAAGCATTGGCAATGATGCCAAAACAAAACCCTAAATTAGGAAAAACAAGTTAGAGGCAAGGAAAGCCATTAAACTAGAAAACATTCTATCAATCCTGGCAGGGAGGCTCAGTTGGTTGGAGCATCATGCCATACACCAAAAGGTTGCAAGTTCAATTCCCAGTCAGGGCACGTAACTAGGTTATGAGTTCTATCCCTAGTAGGGGTGCATACTGGAGGCAACAGATGATTGTTTCTCATATCAATGTCTCTATTGCTCTCTCACAATAAATAAATCAATAAATCAATAAATCAATAAACATATCCTCAGGTGAGGATTAAAAAAAACACTATCAGAAAGACTGGAAGACTAAAGCTGCTTTTATGGCCATGTTAAAAAGCTCAGAAAACAAAAATATATTGCTGAAAAGATTAATATGATACCCAAAGGCAGACAGGATGGAAATGAGGACTTTTATCTTCCAAAATTACAAATAAAAATGCCCAATCTAAAATAATCTCTTTGAGGAAAAGGTCAGTTATTACCATCTTTCTGTCCTTGATAAGCACCTTACCCAGAGCTCAACAAATATTTAAAGTTAAGTCAATGTTTGTATTTGGACATATATCACTAAGAGAATAGGTGGGTTAATTTTGAGCTGAACTACTAACAGAAATGAAATAAAGAAAGTTGAAAGAAATTGTAAGGGACCACAAACCAGAGACTTCATTTTAAATCAGAAATAAAACTGCCCTCATTATTCATTTAAGATTTTTTTATTTAGCTCTGGCTGGTATGGTTCAGTAGATTGAGTGCTGGCCTATGTACCAAAAGGTTACTGGTTCAATTCCCAGTCAGGGCACACGCCTGGATTGCGGGCCAGGATCCCCAATTGGGGGATTGTGAGAGGCAACCAATCAATGTATCTCTCGCACATCAATGTTTCTCTCCCTCTCTTCCCCTCTCTCTAAAAAAGTAAATAAAAATCTTTTTTTAAAAAAGGTTTTTTGTTTATAGTAGCTAAGGTATAATAAAAAGAATACTTGCTGCTCAGGATCTATTACCAAGTTACTATCTATGAAACTTTGGGAAAGTCACTTCACTATTCTGGGCTTCAACTTAAATGGGTTAGTTAGGTTGATAATCTTACAGTTAAATCTTAGTCCAAGTACATTAACAGAATTATTCCGGATAATCAAAACAAAGGAATAAATATCAGACTCTAAAAAGCCAAAAAAGATTGACAATGGAATGAATTATGAGCTCCAATTGGGTATTAGTATTAATATTAGTATCAGACAGTGCTGTATGAGCACTAACCTGATACTCAAATCCTTCTCAACTGAGGTTATAACAGTTCTAACACACTCAGTGCTACAATGCTTAATCCTTACAAAGAGCCTATGTTGTATGTTTATTACCCCCATTTTACAACTAAGGCAGAGAGGTTAAACATGCATAAAGTTCCACAGCTAATAAATAGTAGAATCAGGATTTGACCCCTGGCAGTCTGATTCCATAACCAACACATTAGTATGCTTGAAATTAAAATTTGCCAGATGACTGGTAAAATAAATAATCTAGAATTTACAATTATGGGTAAAAAACTGACAACTGCCTTTCTCAAAAAGAGGAGAAATTAAATAAATACATAAATGTCTCACTCCAGAACATCTGGCACACTAAATGAAACATAATCAAAACCCACCTTGTTCCTCCCCCAAACCCGATCTACTTATAAACTTAAACACATTCCATAACAATGAATTAAAACACTGCAAAGGTAGAGATGCATGGATTTCAAGTCTAAAATTTGTGTTTAAAGTATTTCAGGGTTAGTGCTAATCACATAATAGAAAAATACAGATCTTCAAATTTCATATATTGACAGGAACACATACCTCACTAGTGAATTAAAAACAATCCATAAATTAAGGGAACCATGCTCCAAATTTGAGATTTACTAATGTATGCTTAAGTATATCCCCTTACTTCTAAACAGAACTATTTGTGAAGCAAAGACCATCAATCTACCCATTTAAATATTAACTCAAAATAATTTTAACTTGAGGCTCCCTTAAATAGCCATTTGGCCCCTGGAGACAAAGAATTTCACCAATTCAACTTATACTAATATTTTTTTAGCAAATAAAATCTCTAAAAAAATCTGTCTTTTCATAGTCAGGTTACTGTTAGTGGACCTTGGGAGTTGAGAGGAGGTGGAAGAAGGTATGGGGGGATAAATGTTGATGGACAGAGACATGACTTTGGGTAGTAAACACACAATACAGTGTGTAGATAATGTGTTATAGAACTGAGCACCTGAAACCTGTACAAATTTGTTACCCAGTGCTACCCCAATAAATTCAATTAAGAAAAGAAAAATGAAAACCTATATATAAATGTTCAAAAAGCACATTTTCTTGTCCTATGAGAGTTTCACTATTTTGCCCTGGCTGGTGTAGCTCAGTGGACTGATCATGGGCTGAGAACCAAAGGGTCACCAGTTTGATTCCCAGTCACAGCACACGCCTGGGTTGCGGGCCAGGTCCCCGGAAGGGGGTGTGCAAGAGGCAACCACACACTGGTGTTTCTCTCCCTCTCTCCTTCCCTTCACCTTTCTCTAAAAATAAATAAATACAATCTTTAAAAAGTTTTTAATTAGAAAAGTTTTACAGTTTCACTATCATGTTTAGTAAAATTCCACTCAACTGTAACTACATAAAATTCAGTATCAAAGTAACAACCATTCAGCTTTCAAAATCTGTCACTTATCAATAATGGTTACTTATTCTTTTGAAGCCTTAGTTCCTCATTTGTAAATAGGAATAATCATAGAACACAGTATATCTGAATTGTTTTAAGGATTGTGTATGGCACTTAAGTGTTTTCTATGATAACCAGGTAAGATTTCTGAGAATTACATACATATTTAGTCATTAAAAGATAAGTATTAGAGAACAATTCTCATTTATTATATTTATGAAGTTCAAGTACACTATTAAGAAGTTCTGATCCATTCCAGACAATGTTTACTGATGTTACTGAGAGAGGAACCGAGGAACCAAGTCTGGGGGTTAAGGGGAGGAAGAGAGAAAGAACATCAACTGGTTGCCTCCTGTATGCACCCTGACCAGGGACCAACCTGCACCTTGGTATCTGCCCTAACTTGGAACTGAACCCACAACCTTTTGGTGTAGGAGACAACACTCCAACTAACTGAGCCACCCAGCCAGGGCAACAGACAAACCTCTTTATTACACACTGCCTAACCACTGTTCTGTACAAGTGAAACTAACAAAATATCGGGCTGGCCAAATAGTTCAATCAGGTTTTTTCCATAAGATGGCTCTAGTGGTCCTTAGTTGTCTTTAACTTATTCAAAACAATTGTTAGATTGTATTGTGACAGCTGTCATGTCAGCGTGCATTAAAAAAAACAAAAACCAGCATCAAAATTGATGAATTCTTGTGTAGCCATGTTAATATTGAAAATGGAAGAAAATAAGCAACATTGTTGGCATATTATGCTTTATTATTTTAAGAAAGGTAAAAACACAACTGGAACTCAAAAAAAAAAAAAAAAAGATTTGTGCAGTGTATGGAGAAGGTACTATGACTGATCAAACATGTCCAAAGTGGTTTGCCAAGTTTCATGCTGGAGATTTCTCACTGGAAGATGCTCCACAATCGGACAGACCAGGTGAAGTTGACAGGAATCATTTGAGGCATTAATTGAGAGCAATCAATGTTATACCACACGGGAGACAACCAACATTCTCAAAATATCCAAATCAAGCACTGAAAATCATCTGCACCAGCTTGGTTGTGTTAATTGCTTCGATATTTGGGTTCCACTTAAGTGAAAAAAAAAACACCAAAAAAAACAAAAACAACCTTCTTGACCATATTTCCACATGTGACTCTCTACTTAAATGTAACAAAAAGTTCTGTTTTTTAAAACAAATTGTGATGGGTGATGGAAAGTGGATACTCTACAATAACATGGAACAGAAGAGATCCAGGGGCAAGAGAAATGAACCACCACCAACCACACATACCAAAGGCTGGTCTTCATCCAAGGAAGGTAATGTGTATATGGTAGGACTGGAAAGTCTGCTTTATGAGCTCAGTCCAGAAAACCAAACAATTAGTTCCAACAAGTACTGCTCCCAACTAGACCAACTGAAAGCAGCACTCAATGAAAAACATCTGAAATTAGCCAACAGAAAACATGTAATCTTCCATCAGGATAACACAAGACCACATGTTTCTTTGATGACCAGGCAAAAACTGTTACAGCTTGGCTAGGAAGTTCTGATTCATTTACTGTATTCACCAGACACCATACCTTCAGATTTCCACTTATTTTGGTCTGTATAAAATTCCCTTAATGGAAAACATTTCAATTCCCTGAAGACTGCAAAAGGCACCTTAAACAGTTCTTTCTTCAAAAAGATAAAAAATTGGGGAAGACGAAATTATGAAGTTGCCTAAAAGATGACAGAAGGCTGTAGACCAAAATGGTGAATATGTTGTTTAACAAAATTATTGGAGAAAATGAAAAATGTCTTTTATTTTTACTTTAAAACCAAATGAAATTTTTGGCCAACTCAGTAACATTGGGGGAGGCAGGGGGAGTCAACAGTCAAACCTCTTTATTACAAACTCCAAAAACACCATTTCAGTTATTATCTTAAGCTAAAAATCTGTATACAGAGTAACAGTTAAATTTTGCCATGTATAATGTGCACTTTTCCCCCCAAATTCTTGAGGGAAAATTAAGGGTGTATATTATAGTGTACTAATTCCATACCTATATAAATGTTTTTAATTCTCTTTTTATGCTTATGCATTAAAAGTATAACTCTAGAAAGCAATGATGATGTCCATATGCAAAATTATACCCTGGAATACAATAATCTCTGTTGTAATCCTAATCCTGTATTTATAATCCTAAATACAAATAAACAAAAAAAATTGAATTAAAAAATGAAAATGAAAGATTTTTTCCTCAAAGTTTGGGCCAAAAACATGGGAACGCATTATACATGGCAAAATACGGTACATAGGCCATACAGACCCTGAAACCCTTTTTACAGATTTTTTTTTTTTTTTGCCAAAACAGATTGGCTTGATAAGATTAAACTCTTTAAAGGATATACCAAGGAGCAAAATGGAAAAAGGACTCAAGACATGGACAACAGTGTGGTGATTGCTGGTGGGAGGGGGTTATAAGTGGGCTAAATGGTAATGGAAAAAATACAATAAAGATTAAATATAAATAAATAAACCAATGACACTCCTTACGATAATACCCAATAAGCACCAAATCATCCCTGTATAATCAAGAATGAAGGATGCACTTTCCTAAATCAACCAGTTTTTAGAACTCCATATCAGTTTACCTTGTAGCCCAGTTTACTATACCTTTAAGCTCACTATAGATTTGATATTAGAATCAAAGTAAAGTATCAAGAAGAATGACCTTAAAAAAAAAATACATGAACACAAGGAGTGAACCATAATGTAAAACCACACACTTTGGTTGATAAGGATGTGTCAATGTTGGTTCACTGAATATGACAAATGTACCATAACGATGAAGAATGTTGATGGTGGGCAAGGCTGTGCCTGTGTGTGGGGAGGAGGTATATGGGAAGTCTGTACTTTCCACTCAATTCTGAGGTAAACCTTAAATTGCTCTAAAAAATAAAGTCCATTAATTCAAAATATATATGTATGAATATGATACAGTGAACTATTTGGTTTGCATTTTTTAAGGCAGTATCTTTCTACCAGGGTTTTGGGGAAGCTATTCTAAACCCTAATTCTGCAACTAGCTAAAGTACTGGAATATTCCATCACAACCCTAAAACACCCTCAAATTAACATAATTAATTTCAATACTATCCAGTTGCTTATGCACCATTGCTATTATTTTTTATTAACATTTGTCATGTCCCAAAGTGTTGGAGATCACTAAAATCTGTTGTAAAATCTAGTAAAATGTGGACTTTCATGCAAGTGGCAATTCAGTGGTTAAAATCTGGTTAGATCAGATTTTACAGGTATAAATATACAATTTTTTTCCTACACATGCAAAACTGTTGAATGAGTTTAGTCTTTGTATGTACCAAAGAATAAAACTAAAAAAAGTGATTTCATTCTGAAACAGTTACCTATTGCCCTGGCTGGGTGGCTCAGTTGGGTGGAGGGTTGTCCCGTACACTAAAAGGCTGTGGGTTCAATTCCTAGTCAGGGCACATACAGGAAGCAACCAATCAATGTTTCTCTCTCACATCGATGTTTCTCTCTCTCTAAAAAAATCAATAAACATATCCTCAGGTGAGGATTTTTAAAAAGAAAAAAAAGTTACCTATTCCCACTTTTTACTTGCCATATTGCCCACAACTATATATCTTAGAATATACTGCTCACCATACAACTGCAGAAGAAAAAGAATTTTCAAACTCATAATAATCACAAAAAATTTACTTTTACTTAAAAAGGTAGGGAGCACTATAAGGTATAACACCACATACCTAATGGATTCTAAAACTTCAGGTAAAAGATAATATTGTTATCTGCATGAGGAAGTTTTGAATTGTACTTTCGGAAGACCTGGGAGAGCTGGGGATTGAGATAGTAGGAGAAAACAGAGTCAGGGAGATTAACAGGAGAAATGAGAGATAGCATGTTCTATATACTTGAAAGGAAAATTCTGAAGCTCCATATTCTATGTGGTAACTACCAAATAGGAAAATAAGAACACTACTTAGCAACATAAAGGAAGAAACAACTGATACACACAACAGCTTAGATAAATCTCAAAGAAATTATGCTCAGTGGGGGCAAAAAGCCAATCCCAAAAGGTCATATACTATATATGATTCCACATATATACCATTTCTTCAATGATAAATTATAGAAAAGAAAAACAGATTAATATAGTTACAAGAGGGCAATACCAGAGATCCTTGTGGTGATGGAACTGTTCTATATCTTAACTGTGGCAGTGGATATAGGAACCTACACATGTGACAAATATACACATACACCCAACTAAAAATTAAACTGGGGAAATCTGAACAAAAATGGGTGGGTCATTATTAATGTCAATATTCTGGTCATGCAAACAAAACAGAAACAGGCATGGATACATGAAACAGACTGACAGCTGTCGGGGGCGGGGTTTGGGGGCTGGATGAAAGAAGATGACGAAATTAGGCAAAATATATATATGTGTATATATGATCACAGACACAGACAACAGTGTGGTGACAGCGAGAGGGAAAACGGGGTGAGGGTAGATGGAAGTGGGCAAAGGAGATAAGTGAGGACAAAAAGAGACTTTCTTTTGACTGACAGGCACACAATGCAGTGTCTTGTTGAGTTGTACACTTGAAACCTGTATGGTCTTATGAACCAATCCCACCCCAATAAATTCAATAAAAAATATAATATCTGGGCAAAAAAATATTCTGGTCATGAATCTATTTGTTTTTAGAAGATGTTACTGTTGAGGAAACTGGACAAAGGATACATAGAGTTTCTCTGTATTATACCTTACAACTGCATGTGAATCTAAAATTACCTCAAAATTACAAATTTATTTTACAAATTACATTACTATGGTGACTTTCAAACTTTTTTTGACTACTGATAGAAACTTCCCTACAAATGATACCATACACAGAAATATAAGCATCTATTTTGAATCTAGAATGAAAAAATAGTTTAATCTCCTATGCTTTTACCAATGAAGGCCACAAGTGATTAGTGATGTCTGATAATGGGTATAGAAAGCATTTGTACCTCATATTTATTATGATATTTTTCTGCCTGTCATTAAAGAGGGTGGTAAGGGTATGTTCCTGCTTGCACATCCTCCACATAACAGTTAAGTTCCATGAAAAGCCTAAGGCTTTCTGGAGAAAAGTATGAAAATATCACTGGAAGAAAACAATACTCTTCCAAAAAAGTAGTGTTAAGTTGGTTGCAATTAAAAATAAAACAAAACAACAAAATTCCTGCATATACCTTTTAGTCACATACATCTCTTATACAGACTATTTTTAAAAAGATTTTTACTCGTTTTTAGAGAGAGGGAATGGGAGGAAGACGGGAAAGAAACACCAATATGTGGTTGTCTCTCACATACCCTCTATTGGGGACCTGGCCCGCAACCCAGGAATGTTCCCTGACTGGGAATCGAACCAGAGAACCTTTGGTTCACAGGCCAGCACTCAATCCACTGAGCCACACCAGCCAGGGCTCTTATATAAACTATTAATAAGGTGGTTTATTCTTGCTTTTTTTGCATTCAAATATGTATGCTGCCAAGTAAGGCATCCTTTTTGACTACAACAAAATTGGTAATACTTTTATTCTCTCAATCTTTACTCTAATCTCAAGTAAAATAATATACTACTCATACTCCAGAATTATCTATTTCTTCTATAACTATTTTGAACCATTTCTTTTAGACTAGAGGACTTGAGTCTTCTTCTTTCCCTATCTAAAAACACTGTACCTCAAATCTAATAGAGTTTAAACAAATCTTTCTGATCCATCTACATTTTACCTCAGACCAAGGCTACCAGAATAATTTTCTAAGTGGTCTCTCTGTAATCTAACTTGACCTTTAAACCAGTGGTTCTCAAACACAGACCCACAGACTGCTATTTTTCATGTACCTGAAGTTCACAGTTTAAAATTGACATATTCCTAGTCTTCACCTCAGAGATACTGATTTAGTAGGTCTGGGCTGTGACCCAGATGTCTTATTTTAAAAAAGGCAGGGGGTGGGGGGTAGGGGGTGGACATTCACTTCAGTGCTCTATTTTACAGCTGCTTAAACACTGAACAGCATATAATTCAAACCCACTAGTTTCCTAACTTTGCCCTCTTCAAAAGAGCATAGTATCTCACAGTACTCAGTCAAGTTCCTAATCTTGGAACTTACCAGGTTAACTTAATTCCATATTATTCAAATATATAAATCTCTTGATTATGCCAGTTTCTTTCCTACTATTGGTATATCCTTGCTTAAACTTTCTAAAGTTATTTTTATTTATATCCATC